TTTCAAAACTTTTTAATATTCTCTTTCTTTGATCCAATGGTGATGTGATGTGTAGTAAGTTAGTAGTGAGAATTTTTGGTAGTTAAAATATCCTTACTCATATATATATATATATATATATATATATATATAAATTGATCCTTTCGTTTTTAAATGTTGTGCTACGTAATTTGGCTCAAGACCGCTACACCTACAGTCAGAGCTATTCATGTAATTGCTGGAGATATTACAAGAGTGTAAGTGATAATTGTTCAGTTTTTATTTTACCTTAGAAAGAAATAATTTTTTTTTTGTGTGTATGAAAAACTTGTTAACTGAAAATTTTATTTGATAATACACAATTTATGTTTCATTCGTTCTGATTTTCAAATTTCAATAATAAATTTTATAATGGATATATTTAATAAATAGTGCGTCCAAAAATGAAAAAAGGAAAAAAAAATTTATTTCAAATTTTTTTTTACTGATTTTTTCAAACATAATTTTTTATTATTCATATTTCCCAAACTAAAAATTGAATAAAGAAATTAAAACGTTGTCATGCCCGCCTTTTAATCCCTTCATCAATATTCTGAGGTGATTTTAATATTAACTATTTTATAACAATCAGCTGACTTCGTTTGAGAACATGACAACGGGCAAAAAAATTAATTTAATGTTTTTTAATAAAATAATTATGTATTTATTATAATTTTGGAAATAATTACATATCTATTGCACAATGTGACGCCCTTTGTGTTAACACGTGTCATTTTTTTTCCAAAAAAAAAAAATTAATTGAAACATAAAATTTTTGAAGGCTATAACTTTTGACTCGGGTATCCAAATCAGGTAATTCTTTTTTTGATTCCACATAACTTTTCGAAATCTACGCAATAACATTTCATTTGATATATTTTATTTCTCATAAACATAATTTAAATTTAAATCAGGTAATCTTTCTTCCTTAGAGATTTAGAATATTTATTTAATTATTTCCTTTATTAATACAGATTTTTCAAATTGATTTTTTGAGTTTAAATCACAAATCAAATCTTTATTTTGTTTTTCTTATTAATAATAATTGTTACTTTTAATTTAAATCACACATCAAATCTTGATTTATTTTTATATTAAATCACAAACCCAGAACTCAGATGCTTCTGAATTTAAAAATGTGACACGTGTCAACACCTGACATGTCACCAATGACGTCTAAATTGGGTTTCAATCAAGAGGCAATCACACCTAATTTAGGTAATTTTATTTTTGAAAAACATTCATAAGCCATAATTAATTTCAGACCACAAATAATAACTCAGAAGCTTATAGCATTAATCATTAATTTCAAAAATAATATCCTTCTTCCTTAGAGATTTAGAATACTTATTTAATTATTTCCTTTATTAATACGGATTTTTCAAATTGATTTTTGAGTTTAAATCACAAATCAAATCTTTATTTTGTTTTCCTTATTAATAATAATTGTTATTTTTTTAATTTAAATCACACATCAAATCTTGATTTATTTTTTATATTAAATCACAAGCGCATAACTCAGAGGCTTCTGAGTTTAAAAATGTGACACGTGTCAACACCTGACACGTCATCAATGACGTCTAAATTGGGTTTCAATCAAGAGGCAATCACGCCTAATTTAGGTAATTTTATTTTTGAAAAACATTCATAAGCCATCATTAATTTCAGACTACGAATAATAGCCCAGAAACTTATAGCATTAATCATTAATTTCAAAAATAATATCATTCTTCATTAGAGATTTATAATATTTATTTAAATATTTCCTTTATTTCTACAGATTTTTCAAATTGATTTTTTTGTTTAAATCACAAATCAAATCTTTATTTATTTTTCCTTATTAATAATAATTTTTACTTTTATTTTTAATTTAAATCACAAACCAAATTTTTGTTATAATAAAAAAAATTTAAATCACAAATCAAAATTTTATTTATTTTTTATATTAAATCACAAACCCAGAACTCAGAGGCTTCTGAGTTTAACCGCTCTTATAATATCATTCTTGCAAATTAAAATTGTTTGTGAGAAATAAAATGTATCAAATGAGATGTCATTGCGTAGATCTCGTAAAGTTATGTGGAATCAAAAAAAGAACTACCTGATTTGAATACCCGAGTCAAAAGTTATGGCCTTTACAAGTTTTATGATTAAATTAATTTTTTTTTGGAAAAAAAATAACACCTGTCAACACCTGATAAGTGACGCCTCATTGGGGCGTTTTCCCTTAGGGTGAGACGCCTCAATGGGGCGTCACATGTGACGCACAAAAGGGACGTCATATTGTGCAATAAATCCATAATTATTTCCAAAACTGTAATAAATGCATAATTATTTTATTAAAAAGCATTAAATTAATTTTTTTTGCCTATGACAACGTTTAGAGTTTTATGAAAAGATCAACAAAAACTAGAAAGGAATTTTATCATTCCACCTAGGCCTATCAAAACGGGTTAACATGATACGAATTTGACACGACACGAATACATTAACACGAACATGATACTAATTTTTATTCATGTCAAAATCTTCAACATAACGACACGAATTTTTTGCGAGTTGACACGACCCGAATAACACGCAAAATAAGGGTCAAAACGATAGAAATAGTTAATATATTCAAGATAATTATGTATTTACAAAATACCGTCTACCCATAATACCGATAAGAAAGGGGAATTGGCTTGACTCTGAAAAGTAAAAGAGCAATATCAGAAGAGTTGTTATTGCTCTGACCACTATTTTTGGCTTTGGATCTTCCAAATCATTCCCGCAATAGGTTCGCAAAAAAAATTAAAAAAATTTAAAAATAATAATAGAATAATAAAAACAAAAAAATTAAAAAAATATGAGAAACATCAACACGAGCACGACACGAATTTTTTGTGTGTCATTTTTTTCAACACGAACACGATATGATTTTTTTGCGGGTCAATCCTAGCACAAATTTTCGTGTCGCGCTGCGGATCAACCCGCGTGTCATAACCTATATTGACACCCATAATTCCACCTAAAGACGAACATGACAGTTGTGGTTATTCTTATATGCTAGCACTTACATCTATTTTAATTTATGAACCAATGATGGTTTGTATTATTATTACTATTGCTGAAATGTATTTTTAAAAATTTAAATTCAGCTTACAAATTATATGAAAACTAACTCCAAAATTGTAATTAGCGAAATATTTTAATAAATCCTTAAAAACATTAAGTAAACTTTTCTCCAAATAAAAAAAATAATCAAATGAATAAGTTAACCATTATCAAACGATTTCTCTGCTCCTATTAAAAAGGATAAAGTAATATTTTATTAAAATAATTGGTAAAATTATGAGATGCCAAAAAGAATGTGCAAGTTCAAACTACTCTATTATCTTTGCCATTTGCTTAATACCTTTCCCTTCTGATGGGCTCCCTTTTAACCTTTTTCAAAGCTCATCACAGAAATAAGTCCTCCCTTAGAAAAAAAAGACAGAGAGAAAATAGACAGAACAGTACACGTTTGAAAATGGACAGAGAAAATTGAGAAAATAAGTCCTCTCCATTTCTAATTAACTTGATAATATTATTACATACCGGCTTTGAAAAAAAATGTATGATGCAGCAAATGGGCAATCTGCAATAGGAGCTCTCAAAACACCATTGCTCTAACCCAAAGCAAATACCTAAAATATATAACGATGGTACCATATAACTAGCATAAACCACTATTGCTGACAAAGGATCATTGGCAACACCAAAGTAAAATAACAATACACTACCAACTATTTAAAAGGGTGTAATCATGCATTGAAAGTATATCATAGAAGTTCCTTTAATTGTCCCCATCGCAAGGTATTGAAAAACTCTTATACCAGCATTGAAAAATGTATAATAGAGCAAATGAACAATCCGCAAAATGAGCTCTCTACCAAAAGCTCAACGCACAATTTCTGTAATCTAAAGCCTCTACCAGAGACAAAAACATCAATGGTGCAATATAACTGGCAGAAACCAGTGATTGAGGATCATTGGCTACATCAAGAGATAGTTTCAGCAGCCATCTTCCCCTGGACCGCATTGTAGCATTGGAGACTGCAAAGAGGAAGCTTTGATTTTGAATCTCGATACTTATATGGATTAGAACAAGATGGACCAGCACACTTCTCACGAGGTGGAGGATAACTGAAACAATACCCAATGATATCATTAAAGTCGTAGTGAGTGCCTTTGGCTTTAGCTGTTTCCCTGATTTTGACAACAACAAACATTGGTCAGAAGTTAGAAACTACAGCACATGTTTCTAACTTCTGACCAATGTTTGTTGTTGTCCAGAGGCTCCAAGTCTGGTTCCTCCTCCTCAATCAGCCATAGAGCGTTGTCGCCAGACACACCATGCTCCACCCCAGTCACCTCCGCGAAGGATCGCAGTTTCTCTTGCGTGGGAGACCCAGATTGAAACTCCTTGATAGCTTCACGCATCACCACCTCCGCTGGGATTTCCTCACCGTTCTTGGTACGCTTCGTACTCTTGCGTGACATGGACAAAACCTCATTCTCACATCCATTCATCGTTTCCAGAAGATTAGACCAAAGAAAACGAAAACACAAAGATCAAAACCCTATCAGAGAGAAAAATATCGCGCGCGTGTCTGTTACGCGTCTAACCCATCGCTCCAACGCAAAGGTAAAACAACAAGATTTCTGCATTGCATTGAATCGTGATGTTTGGCTGGACTATGAGGATGATGGTGTAGTTTCAAGTCTCTTTTATAAACAGTCTAGGTAACTACCTCAGGGCTAAGGCCTTAGAGGATTCCCTTATGCAATCAAAATACTAATTGTAAATAGAAATTGAGAACAACAAACTAGGACAAGCATGTTATAAATTCCACATAATACATGAATCAAACAAGCCATCAAGGGGAATAAGAAAGGAACTTAGCATTGTATTTTACAAATGAATGAAGGTCTCTATCCCGAATCCCTCAACAATTTTGTCAAGGAAACCTCCAAGCTGAGATTGAATGCATTGGGGTACCTTTCCATCCAACTATGAGACACTTCCCATTCCTCTCTATAGTGCATAATTTCCCAAAAGCAAACTCTTTGGCAACCAAATCAGCTTGGTAAAGACATGACTTGCTAAATCCAGTTTCCACCATTCGGTACCTTGCAAAGAACCTTCTCCAAACATCTATCTTCACATTTCTAACCGTCCTTTCCCTGCCTTCCATAGCAACAATGTTTCTTATCCCTGCAGAAAGTATTCTTTCGGTTGCCATTCTGCACTCATTCTCCTGTTTTGTGCAGGTTTCAAGGCAATCAAAAAAAGCTGAGTAGAAGAACAATGCTTCAATGAAGCGATTCACAAAGGAGGGTGAATTATGGTTTGCTTCAACTTCAAGTACTATCATTATAGATGGTTTGATATTTCTAATAACCCCCATCAAGTTTTCCATACAATCAGGCCTAGATATCATGTTCCTCAGTAAATAGGGAGAGTAAACAGCTACAGCTTCATGCCTTCCAACTTCAAAATGATCTTCCTTGAGTTCTGCTATGTCTGTGACAAAAACTGCCTTAAATAAAAAGGGCAAGTTCAAGGATTCAGCAAAACTCGCTAACCTTTTACCAGTCTCTTCTATCTTGGTTTTGCATGTATAAAGTCCAATGGCAGTCATCTTCAAAAGCTCCACTGCACAATCCTGGCGCTCAACCAGTGCTTGCATCAAAGCCGTGCAGTGCACCCCACTATTTATATCAAGATCTATCAGATGGATCTTCGTATCAGATGCAACATGTTCCACTATGGCTTGTATCCCAGTGAATTGCATTACCTGATTAAAAGGGATTTTTTTATGGCATGTAAGGGACAAGATGGTATCCATATTCCGATGTAATTCCCTTTCTTCATTTTTCACCAACCCCTTAATTGTCACCTTTCCTGTTTCTTTGTCTATTCTCGCTCGAAGTGCTTGAGCGAAATGAAAGATAACTCTTTGAGCAGGGTTTGCTGTGGCAGATGAATTCCTTTCACAAACGATAAGTAACCTGCTTGCACGTTCAAATTGTTGACACCCTACTCTCTCAGCTGCAGCAAGGAGAAACTGAGCAAGTTCAACGTCTCTATTTTCTTCCTCAGACAAATCCCCAAGATCAAATCCATAAGGGTGCATGGGGATGAAAAAACTATCATTCCAATGGGCAGATAATTGTACATACCTTGTTCCAGCCACTCTTATTATTTCTTCTGTTGACCTGTTTTGGTGATCCAATGAAGTTTCAATGTTACTTATATTTTGCCCACTTAGCCTATTGAACCTGCTTCCGTGACTTCTTAGGAGCTCCAACGATGCTAAAGATGGTGGCTCTTGTTTATTGTATTCAACAAGTTCTGAACTTGCCACTTCCTGATTCTTTAGCCCTCTAGTTTCGTGAAATGCTTGTGTTGGTTGCGGACCAAAGTCAAAGTTGACCTCTTCTGACATCAAGTTATCAAATCTGAGTTCTTCATGTTGTTGTTGTTGCTGATTTTGGTATTTGAACAAATTGGCTCCTTTTCCACTCTCATTAGGGAGAGGATTAATCTCTCCAAGCAATTCAATTCCAGATAAACTGTGTTTCTCTTGGAACACAACATCTTGTATAGAGCCATAACTCACTTCGACTCCATTGAAATTTAGTGCCGTGGAAGAAAAATGATCAATCTCCATGTCCAATGAAAACAGAAATCAAGATTAATTTCGGTGATTTACACTGAACACAATGTGCTTATATTTTGTAGATAAACATCGAGGAGATTGTATGCATTATCATCATTCAAAGTGGAAAACAAATATTTTAATATATAAATGCTTGAAGAAACTTGATATCTCGAAATTTATAAATGTAACAAGGAACATGTAACTTTGATGGTGAAGTTTTCGATGTTTTCATTGCAGTCATCAGCCAGTAATCATAAATAAAAGGCCCAATAATTTGATTAAACAAAGACGATAGCTTGTTAAGATTTGCCATAACCACTACAGATTAGTATTTAATTATCTATAAATTTGTCGTTAGGGAAACAATGGTAGAGATACACACAAGGCATGAAGTAACATATGGAGTATTATATCTTAAGAGGTTTTCATGAAAAGTTCAGCCCAGGGTGATTAAACGGCTCAAGAAAACAAAACAGGGGACTCCAACAAATTGTCATTGTCTGTTAAAAAAATTATAATACAAGATCTTATCAGTTTATCTGCAAAAAGATACGAGGAATATGCCATGACAACTAATATTATACTAAAAAAAAAACTAAAATTACTACTCTTAGCAAAAGTATTTAAAAAAATAATAATTAAGAGTGAGTTATGGAATTCGGGGGGAAATGTACAGTATCTTCGTTTTTGAAAGTTATTAAATACACTTATTTTAAAAAAAATATAATTACATCTAACGAAATTATTCTTCAGCTCCATTAATTTTTTTTTAAAGAAAAAATATTAATGCCTTCTTATTTTTAAAAATAACAAACAACTTAAATAAAAACAGAGTTAAATTTATAAATTTTTTATTTACAAATTTTTGTAAATTAAACTATATAATTCAAAAAATGCAAATACTTAAGTGTATATTTTTCGCAATACATAATTTAATTTATAAAAGTTTAAAAATAAAAAATTACAAATATAACGTTCTCCTAAAATAAATTGAAATTTTAAATTAACAATTGTTTTTTTTTTTTAAATAATTAACAATTGTTTTAGAACGAAGGAAGAATTTGTATAGAGACTTTTATACTGCTGATTATTAATCTACCAGGCACAATTTGCAATAAAGAAATTTATCTTGGGAAGGACAATATTATGTTCGTGAGGGACAACGATAATGATGTGATAACAGGAAAATGGCTCATGCGCAAGCTCATTTTATGTGATTTGGAACATCACAGTCTTTATCTTAAAATGAAAAGAAAAAAGGACGGATGATTAATTTAAATGGAATTTTTTTTTTCTTTTTTAGAAAAGGTGCACCCAAAAAATTATGCACCGGGTGCATATTAAAAAAATCTTGCACGAGCTTATCTTATGTGATCCGATACTTCATAGTCCTTCCCTTAAAATGGAAAGGAAAAACACGGAGGAGAAATTTGAAAAAAAAAGAGAAATTTAAATTGAAGAAATTTTTTCCTTTTTTGAAAAAGGTGCACCCAAAAGATTATGCACCGGGTGTATATTAAAAAAATCTTGCAATAGCTCATTTTATGTGATCCAGGACTTCATAGTCCTTATCTTAAAATGGAAAGAAAAAGGGTGGAGGAGAAATTTGAAAAGAAGTGAAGGATTTAAATGGAAGAAATTTTTTCTTTTTTTGGAAAAGGTGCACCCAAAAGATTATGCACCGGGTGTATATTAAAAAAATCTTGCAAGAGCTCATTTTATGTGATCCAGACTTCATAGTCCTTATCTTAAAATGGAAAGAAAAAGGGACGGAGAAGGAATTTGAAAAGAATAGAGAGATTAAAATGGAAGATATTTTTTCTTTTTTTTGAAAAAGGTGCACCCAAAAGATTATGCACCGGGTGTATAGTAAAAAATCATGCACGAGCTCATTTTATGTGATCCGGGACTTCATAGTCCTTATCTTAAAATGGAAAGAAAAAAGGAAGGACGGAGTAGGAATTTGAAAAGAAGACAGATTTAAATGGAAGAATTTTTTTTCTTTTTTGGAAAAGGTGCACCCAAAAAATTATGCACCGGGTGAATATTAAAAAAATCTTGCACGAACTCATTTTATGTGATCCGGGACTTCATAGTCCTTATCTTAAAATGAAAAGAAAAAACACGGAGGTGGAATTTGAAAAAAAAAAAAAGAAATTTAAATTGAAGAAATTTTTTCCTTTTTTGAAAAAGGTGCACCCAAAAGATTATGCACCGGGTGTATATTAAAAAAATCTTGCAATAGCTCATTTTATGTGAAGCAGGACTTCATAGTCCTTATCTTAAAATGAAAAGAAAAAAGGACGGATTAGAAATTTGAAAAGAAGATAGGGATTTAAATGGAAGAATTTTTTTTCTTTTTTTGGAAAAGGTGCACCCAAAAGATTATGCACCAGGGTATATTAAAAAAATTCTGCAAGAGCTCATTTTATGTGATCCGAACTTCACAGTCCTTATCTTAAAATGGAAAGAAAAAAGGACGGAGAAGGAATTTGAAAAGAAGGGAGGGATTGAAATGGAAGATATTTTTTGCACCCAAAAGATTATGCACCGGGTGTATAGTAAAAAATCATGCACACTACAAGAAATTCGCTGTTTAGCTACAATGATTTAGCCATACGAACGGTCAATGTCGCAAAATTACTCTTGAGATGAATTAAGACGCATTTTTATTGACCATACAAGGAAACACATTGAGAAATGAGAATGGGCCCTTCGATATTGGGCTGTGAAAAATTGAAAATGGATTTAAGTAGGCTTTTTATCTGTTTCTCCAAGCGCTAAAGTAAAGGAGGAAGGGTTTTGGAGCACGTTACTCATGCGTGGTTCTGCTATGCATTCAGGTTTTGAATTGGATTCTTTCTTAGGGTTTCATATACTTCCATTTTCTTCGATCAAACATTTTCACTTGATCTAGGGCTTATGCTTGGATCAATCTCTACTTGATCTTTCCCCTATTTCTTTTTGTTTTCGTTAATTATAGAATTCCTCCATTTTAATTGTTTCATTTTTGTTGTTGATTTGAAATAATGATGACTTTCCTGCTTGGGTGTGCACAATTCTTATGCTGAGAATAAGGATTCCGAGGAATCTTGCATTTCCTCCGATCGATGTGTCTTCAGCCCTAACAATGTCATCGTCTGCGCGACTTTTTCAATTTTTTTCACTCGTTATTGTGCATGAAATTTTCACTATCTGCTTCTCTCTAGCTCTCTTTTCCCAAATTTATCATGAAATGATTTTTTCATTTTGGCTGGAATGGTACTAGTTGATTGGAATCACCATTTTTATTAGTTAAGTTGGTTCTCTGTTTTTCTTTTCTTTTTAAAATTATGTATTTGATTTGGTTTTTGCAGGCTATAAGGAAAACTAATTGAAACCAAGAATGCGGAGGTATTTATGAGTTAAGTTGAGAATCAAGGAGTTCTGCCATGGTTGATGAACGACAATTTCTATAGAGTTTCAACAAAGAGAGTAAACCAAGATACTATTAACCTGGCCGGATTTGGATTTGTTTAAGTTCAGATTTGGAGCTTTGGGTCATATTTTTTTCCCCTTTTCATGTTTGTGTATAGGGACATCACAGGGGCCAATTTGCTTGTCGATTCTGCTGGTCTTGTTAAGCTTGCTGATTTTGGGATGGCTAAGCATGCGAGTTCTAAGTCTCCCCCTCTGTAATTTACTTTTTTTGTGGTCTTAGTCCTTGTTTCATGCAAAGAATGGTTCTGTCATTTCATTGATTCTTTGTATTTCTAGTTGTTAATGATTAGCTATTTACTGTTGAAAAATTCCCGGAAAAAAATGGCTTTAAAAATGCAGGTTTAATTGAAAGGCTCAAACTTGTAGTTATCAAAATTATTTTCTCTTGGTTGAGATCAGCAATTTTATTAACCCTTAAAGCATATCATTCCGTTGTTTCTAAATAAGGTTCTTGCATAACATCAGGCATTTCATCCGTTTTCATTACTTGAATATGTATCTTTAGGTTGTGGTGCTTATTATGTGCTGTTGAAATGAGGTGCTTCTTTAAGTTTAATCTGAACATCGATTTGAATGCGTGGTGGCATAGAATTATTTGTGTGTCTAGATTTAAATTTTTTTTTTCATTTTTTTATTTCACTACCATGATTGTATTGCTAGTGGTTATTTGTTGCCATTGTGATACTCTTGATTTGATCAGATAATCCTTACATTCGGGTAGAATAACTTGGAATCTCTATGTTCCGAGGCTAACTGGATATGAAGCTAATCTTTCTTTGAAAGGAAGTCCATACTGGATGGCTCCAGAGGTACATTCTTACTCTACATTACTCTGTGCTGTCTCATACATTAATTACTTAGTAACACTTAAATTCTCATTTAGCTTTTGCAGGCTGTGATGCAAAAGGATAACAGCTCTGATCTAGCTTTTGCTATTAATATTTGGAGTTTGGGTTGTATAATCATTGAAATGTTCACAGGGATGCCTCCTTGGAGCAAGTATGAAGGAGTAAAAGCCTGCAGAAAATTCTCTTATGTCTTTTTTGATTTGTTATTCCCAGGCTACTTCAGTAACCATATAGTATAAGATTTCTCGTAGGTTATAGATCCCCAATAATTTTTTGTTCCATTTTCTTTTTTGATTCTCTAAAATAATTTTTACAGATATGTGACATGGTTGCTATTGCAAGATATTTGAATGTCACGCTTATAGTCCTACTCTTTTACAGATATGTGACATGGTTGCTATTACAACTAAAGCATCCTTTTGGGCTGATCCCAGGTGACTCTTTTATTCCATAGCGGTGTTTTTTTAACAACAACCTTATCAATGTTGTTAGGTTTGAAGGATTTCTGCTCCTTATTTTTGAATGAGGATCTTATCTCAACACATACTCTTATCAATTATGCGGTTCCTTTCTATTGTTTTGCGATCAAGTTTTGATGTGTATCTCTTGGTGCAAAAGACATTGCTATGATGTCCCTTTTCAAAAGGTAAGCACCCTAACTTGCTACCCTTACAATTGGAACCACGAGAATGTATTAAATGTTAGCAACATACACATAACCCTAACGTTTAATTTCAATAGTGAGGTCTGCCCAGTGAGGTGTGTATCCTAAACCGCTTTCTGTGTTCAAAAGTAGAACTTTCATTATTTTTAAAAAAAAGTATCCTAAACCACTTTATATTGATTTTATGTTTATATTTATATAAAAAATTTACAGCATATATACTCATCTACTTTCTCAATTAATTTAATTTTAGGTTTGAAACTTTTTTTTTTTTATGGTGTGGAGGCTTGAACCTTGGGACGACGCTCTCAACACTCAGCCCGAGAAGTGGAATGTTATGCTAACCACACCTCACTAACACCTTTTTTTTTTAATTGAAGTTATATTAACGGCTTTGATTTCTTACACTAATTAACCAATACAGTAGCTCTGGTCACATTGGCAAATGGTGCATTTGGGATCGGATCAAATAATCAATCATGCACCTCGTAGACCCTCACTGAACCATGTACTATCATTTGGTCTGGAATTGACCTCGCCAAATTAGTAGCATTCATTAATTCTAAAATTTAATACCCCAATGCAAGTGAGCGGCACCAAACCCCAGTAAATCCTAAATAGTAATCTTTCACTTTAATAAAACCTATATAACTAGCTAGTAAATAAGTAAAATATTGGTATAAATATATAGAACCTTTGTGTAAATAAAAAATAAGAAAAGGTCTAAATAAGCTTTTTTTTAATATTATTTTTGTTACTCACAGGATTTGGAAGAATTGGGTGTAACAAAAAAAATATTGATATATTATTATTATAAAAGTTGGTGTTTAATGAGTGGTAATATTTCCAAGAATTTCTGTTTTTTATTCATTTGTCTGTACTGTGTGACTCAGGAACCAGAGGAGATCCCTTGGACTGAGACTGGAGCTGAAATTATTGTTGAGTCCACTAGAGTTTTCACAGATAAGGAAAAGGCCGCTGCACATTTGAAGGTTTGTATTTCTGTAGCTACCTTTTTCCGTTTTGTTGATTTTTCCATTATCTAATATTGCGTTATTCTATTGTAATTGTTGTATATGATTTATTAGTATCGTATAGACTATGTTTCGTTTGCAGCTTATTGCTTAAACTTGCCTGAGTTCTTGGTTGATTATTGGGACATGAATGACATTGACTGTTTCAACAGCTAAGCGGTAGAGACTGACCTTAGGATTTTGTACATTGGTGTTTTGAGGTTGGTTATCATAATAGCTAATTAATAGTATATTAACATAATATGAAATTGATTTGTGCAGGTATGATATGGTAGATGGCATTTCAAAGGACTAGGATGGCATACAAGAACAAATCCTAAATATAAGGAAAATTTGTACTACCATATTTTTTTATGGAATTGAGAAGATATTTTTTTGTATAGCTGTCCCATAAGTAAACTTTTTATTAGTTATATTTGGCATTTTTTTCCCTCTATGATATTGGTAGAAAGCTTCGTTAGCTTGTATAAATTGAAAACATGATGGGGCTTGTACAAATTCGTCAGCGATAATAGAATATAATGTTTAGTGCTTGGTTCACATTTTAATGTGTTCACTAAATCGTTTGAGCTGTTTTCAACATTATTTTCCTTATAATTGTAATATTTATCGAGTTAATATTTTTAATTTTAAAAAGAAATTTCGTATATTTAGCCACATTCATGAATGTGGCTAAAAAAAGTTTTAGGAACAATCAGCCACATTTTTCTATTGTGGCAAACAAAACAGTTTAACCACATTTATAAAGTGGCTAAAAAAACAATAAATGTGGCTAAAAAAAGGCTACCACACTCGGTCAAAATGTGACAAAGTGAATAAAATAATGTGGCTAAATTATTGCAACACCACTTCTAGCCACATTTAATCAAAATGTGGTAAATTATGTTAGCCACATTTTTTATCAATGTTTGCCACATTTTTAAATGTGGCTAATCGGCATTTTGTTTGTAGTGGCACGAGCTCATTTTATGTGATCCGGGACTTCATAGTCCTTATCTTAAAATGGAAAGAAAAAAGGACGAAGGAGGAATCTGAAAAGAAGACAGATTTAAATGGAAGAATTTTTTTTCTTTTTTGGAAAAGGTGCACCCAAAAGATTATGCACCGGGTGTATATTAAAAAATCTTGCACGAACTCATTTTATGTGATTCGGGACTTCATAGTCCTTATCTTAAAATCGAAAGAAAAAAGGACGGAGGAGGAATTTTAAAAGAAGAGAGGGATTTAAATGGAAGAATTTTTTTTCTTTTTTTGAAAAGGTGCACCCAAAAGATTATCCACCGGGTGTATATTAAAAAAATCCTGCACGAGCTCATTTTATGAGATCTGGGACTTCATAGTCTGTATCTTAAAATGGAAAGAAAAAAAAAATGGAGGAGAAACTTGAAAAGAAGAGAGGGATTTAAATGGAAGAATTTTTTTTCCTTTTTTGAAAAAGGTACACCCAAAATATTATGCACCAGGTGTATATTAAAAAAATCATGCACGAGCTCATTTTATGTGATCCGGGACTTCATAGTCCTTTTCTTAAAATGGAAAGAAAAAAGGATGGAGGAGGAATTTTAAAAGAAGAGAGAAATTTAAATGGAGGAAATTTTTTTCTTTTTTGGAAAAGGTGCACCCAAAAGATTATGCACCTGGTGTATATTAAAAAAATCCTGCACGAGCTCATTTTATATGATCTGGGACTTCATAGTCCTTGTCTTAAAATTGAAAGAAAAAAGGACGGAAGAGGAATTTTAAAAGAAGAGAGGGATTTAAATGGAAGAATTTTTTTTTCTTTTTTGGAAAAGGTGCACCCAAAAGATCATGCACCGGGTGTATATTAAAAAAATCCTGCACGAGCTCATTTTATGTGATCCGGAACTTCATAGTCCTTATCTTAAAATGGAAAGAAAAAATGACGGAGGAGAAATTTTAAAAAAAGATAGAGATTTAAATGGAAGAATTTTTTTTCTGTTTTGGAAAAGGTATACCCAAAAGATTATGCACCAGGTGTATATTAAAAAAATCTTGCACGAGCTCATTTTATGTGATCCGGGATTTCATAGTCCTTATGATAAATGGAAAGAAAAAAGGACGGAGGAGGAATTTGAAAAGAAGAGAGGGATTTAAATGGAAGAATTTTTTTCCTTTTTTGATAAAGGTACACCCAAAAGATTATGCACCAGGTGTATATTAAAAAAATCTTGCACGTTCTAAAAAAAAAAAAAAAACAATCTTGCACAAGTTCATTTTATGTGATCCGGGACTTTATAGTCTTTATCTTAAAAAAGAAAGAAAAAAGGACGGAGGAGGAATTTGAAAAGAAGAGAGGGATTTAAATGGAAGAAATTTTTTTCTTTTTTGGAAAAGGTGCACCCAAAAGATTATGCACCCGATGTATATTAAAAAAATCCTGCACGAGCTCATTTTATGTGATCCGGGACTTCATAGTCTTTATCTTAAAATAGAAAGAAAAAGGGACAGAGGAGGAATTTTAAAAGAAGAGAGAAGTTTAAATGAATTTTTTTTCCTTTTTTGGAAAAAGGTGCACCCAAAAAATTATGCACGGGGTGTATATTAAATAAATCCCTCATGCACAGCAAATTTTCTCACTTATTTTACCTATTTATTACGAGAAAGGATATATTTACAAATTTTTATTTACAAACTCTTATAAGTTATACTATGTATTTCTAAAGTATACTACGTTACAATATGTAATTCTGGGCATAGTTAAAATCTCGATTTATCACTACGATTTTATGTTTTTACGATTTTTTTTCATCAGAACGATTTTACCCATATTTCAAACGCTTATACGTTTTTAAGATTTCTTATGATATTTTTACCTTACGATTTTTCGTTTTACGATTTTTTAATCATCTTTCGATTTTACTTAAAATCTCAATTTTAACAACGTTGCTTCTGGGAGTAGATAATATAATTTACAAAAATTTATAAACTGTTCCTCCCCATTTAATAATGCATAAATTTTTAATTAATAACACATTAGTAATGGATTGTCGTATTGTTACTGGCGTTAATTACATAACACACATTGATAATTTAAAATCTATACATTGTTAACAGGTATAAAAATAAGGATTAAGATCCTTTATTTTATTGTTGGGGATAGAGATGTTCATCAACCGATCCAAACCGATTCAAACCGCGGTGACCGAACCAAAAAACCGATAACCGAATAAACCAAAAATCAAAAAATCAAAAACTGAAAAAAAAAACCGCAAATTTTAATTGGATTGGATCGGATTTCGGATTGATTTATGAAAATCGATCTAATCCAAACCGGTTCAATATATTAATTCCCCTCTACCTACTTGGGTTTTTCTCCAATTATAGCCCAAAAATTTCTAAATTCAAGACCCATTAACCCATCAACTAAATCCAAGAAAAAAAGTCACATCTCATCAACAAAATTTCATTTGTGTAGAGCTTCATATCTCATTGCAAAAAAAAAACTATATTATCGTTTAATGATGCTTTTGTATTTCAAAAATAAATAAATTTACAAAGTCAATATATACCAAAGATGTTATTTGCACAATAATTATAAAACAAATTTTAGGATTTTCAAAAAATCAAAAATCGATCCAATCCAAATTGAAAAAAAATTGGATCGGATTTGAAAAAAATTCAAACTGAATAGATGATTACATGATCAAATCGAAGGGATTGGATCGGATGATTTTTGCTTCCAAAACCGATCCAATCCAGACCGCGAACACCCTTAGTTAGGAGGGAGGGGTGAATAATTGCAGATGATATAGTTTTTAATTCCTTTTTAATTATAATTTTAGTTGATATTTTCTATGAAAAAGATTATATTTATAAATTTTTATAAATTATATTATGTATTCCAGGAAATATATATTACGGTGGAGTTCATATATAAGTGTGTATTCCCCTTACGCAATATGTACTTCTCAAAATATATAGTATAATTTGTAAAAATTTATAAATATAACATTCTTATTTTTCGTACCATAAAATATTTTGTTCCGTTAAGATTTCATGTTAAAACTGCAGGTGTTTCCGCCCCGGGAGCTAAGCAGATAGGGGTGAGAGCATAAGTTTGAATCTCTTCAGTACCACCTTTGAAGGGGTTTAAAGCTTTAATCTTGAATCCGCCCCGAATCGAATTAGTTGCGAATCAATGAACTTATTGAAATATTTCAAAAAAAAACTGCAGGTGGTTTATTTCCAATAAAATAATGAAAGAAAAGAGGATAAGACCACTGTTTAAAAACCCGGCCCGACCGAGGTCAGGGGTCATGGGGTCACAGGTTCAACTGGGGGGTCACTATGCTGACCGAGTTTTATATATATATATATATATATATATATATATATATATATATATATATATATGAGGTAGGATCCTTTGACACCAGTGTCAAATTTGAATTTTGACACCGAGTCTGATAACCGTTAGATAAAAAAAATCAACGACTCTGATTTGTAAGCATGTGACACTATTGATATTTTTTGATCTAATGATTATCAGATGAGGTTTCAAAATTCAAATTTGACACTGGTGTCAAATGATCCTACCTATATATATATATATATATATATATATATATATATATATATATATATATATATATATATATATCCTATATGAAAATATTAAAATATATATTGTCAATCTTCAAAGATTCAAAATATACTTAACATAATTCACCAATTACAACCACAAGTCAATATTAGACAACATAATTAAAGTATCAAGATACCAAAGTACAAAACTCATATTCTAATGTGGTCACTACGGTGACCCGGTTCTGCCTCTTTTGATAAGGTATCTGACAAAGGAAAATTTAAAGGAAGTAAGAATGAGTTTTTGTTTTCCATCAACCGCTGTAAGGATTTCATTTGAATGAGAAAAAATTCGTACCTTTTCTAGAAGATTCACGGAAGCGAGGTGAAGATTGAAGACGTCTAGGTCACTGGGAGAGAAGAGAACGATTAGATTTAGGTTTGTAAGCATTTTTATTTTATTTTTTTAATAAAACGACATTGTTTCAGGGAATTAAAAAAAAAAAAAAAAAACATGCAGTGACTCCCTTTGACCCCTTTGACCCGGGAGTCACTAAAATCCGACCGAATTTTGGGAGTCAGAGGGGTCGATGTGCATATAAGGTCCAACTTGTGACCCCAACCCTCATAAGGGAGGGGTCAGGGTTGACCCGGGTCAACCCGAGGGGTGGGATGGGGTTTTACAACACTGGATAAGACAAGGTTGAGGTTGAGTGCGGTTCCGCTCGACCCAGTCCCAACTGAGTGTTGTCCTAGTTTCGTGGTGCTGTCAAACTTTGTATGTATCTAATTTTAATGCATTGTTATTAAATTTTAGGTTAACGCATTATTAAATTAGGATTTTATTTCTCTTATGTCATATAAAGAAAAATTTTATCTTCTATTCTAACTTCGATTTTTATGTTTATCTTTTCTTTTTCTTTTTTTACTTTAACAAATAAAATGGGTTA